AATGGTGAGAAAGAGAGACAGAGAGAGACAGTATTTGCACATGCTCTAGAGGAGGAGTATGATATATGGTATACTATAGTTACTATGTCAGGAGAAAAAATCAGCAACAAGTCTCTGTGGGCCACTCCACAGCCTAGAACTCAGTGGGATCAGAAAGTGTCACTGGATCCCCCAGCTCTGTCCCTCCTGGGGCTTGTAGTCTAGTCACAAGAATGAATTTTGCTTCATCAGGCAAGAGTGAATGCTGATAGCCAAATCAATCACCATTACATTTTCACATAGAAATGACTGTTAAAAATGTAATCATAGTGGTTAAAACTTTAGGACGAACTGAGTGATTTTTATATGTGTGTCATATTTTTATATTTTATAAAAACACTGTGTAATTTGCAGACTGCATTTTTATTATTCCAACCACTCTATATTCGAATGCGTATGTCGTGTGTGCAACTTATGTTCCAACAGTGAGGAGATTCATTTTCATGCCCATGTAAAATGTGGAACATTTCTCCTTTTTCTCTTCAATTTTCTGAATTGCTTACAACTTCAACAACAAGCAACTCATAGCTGTCTAGTTTCCTCCACACTCCCACCATCTTCCCTGTTCCAACAATCCAGATTATTTTGAAGGTAATTCAGACAACATATCACTTCAGCTCTGAATATTTTAGAAGTTATATCTAAGAGGTAAGGACTCCCCTTTATAAACATTTTCTCTGCCCCCAAGAGAATAACAACAATTGCTTATTATCATGAAACATTCAGTCAGTGTTCACATTCCCTAGTTGTCCTATTAGTGCCCTTTTATTTGTTCGAATCTAGATCAAAACAAGGTCCACACACTGCAATCAATTAATATGTCTTACGGACAAGCATTCTTTTTTTCCCCTTAGTTTTTATTCTCAAACAAAAAATACAGAAATGTTATTTCTGTAAGTTTGCAAAGGCAACCTTCTCTGAATGAAGCGGGAGTGGAAAATGCTGTCCTGAAGGAGTCAGTGAAATGTCAAGTCATTGCCTTTGCCAAGGAGATAACTACCTCACACACACCTTTCCCCAAATGATAAGGAAAAGGCGGAACTGAGCTTCCTGGTAAACAGTTTACTTAGCGCCAGAGGACTGCACACAAAAACGGAGCTTGTGAAACACAGTGCTTTGCAGTAAATAGGAACCGAGGAAATAGAAAATGAGCTGGGGATCTGAAAATCATTTATTTCTTTTTCAATTAAAGAGAAGTTTATAAATGGCCAAATCAAACGGTCTGCTTATAAAGTTTTGCAAATGCTGCTTGGATTGATGAATCCTATTTAATATTTTTAATATTAAGCCTTTAATTTAAGGCTTTAAAAATTTTCAAGCTTTGCTCACTCCATTCTAGTCTGTGCTTGTGGTAAAACAAAAAGAAATCATTTGGGGTGATAGAAAATTAATTAAGACTCTCCCCATAAGGAATGTTTCTTAAGGATGCCACCTTAAACAAAACTACTTTTTCACTTCAAAATGGAAAGAAACCCTGGTAGAATATGACACAATACAAACAATAATGTATATACATACATACAATACCAGTTGTCATGTAACTGAAGAAGCAGGAGGAGGTCACAGTAACACAGTGCAGGAGTTAAGAATGTGGGTTGCAAAAAGAGAAGGAACACTGTCCTGTTTCTTTGCATGACAATTAATAGTAGTTGCCTCCTAGGCCTGCTGTGGGATCATTCAAATATATCATGAAAAGCACCCAGCACTTGCTAACAGTAAAGATTAGCTGTTTCTATCATTAGAAAGACAAAAGAAGACATTTGTCCTTACTAGCTTTACCATGAGAGAAGGAACTTCCTTCATGGTAACGTGTCAGTCACAAAAGAAGGCAGCAAACTCCGTGGGCCTGTGCCTATCCGGCTGCCTCCTATATACTCTGTTACATTGTTAAAAGGACTCTGGGGAAAGAAGTACCCTGCATGGGCAATGTTAAACTGTTTCCCTCCCCGAGGTTCCAAATATTTGAAAATAGTACAAGAAACCACTCTGTGTATATTAAATTCTAGGTAAGACAATACTGTGGTAAGTGAACTAAACTGAGATTAACCTGAAATTGGACTCTGATCCCCAAGGGAACAGGCCGGTGTAACCCAGTCCTTACCTGCCCTGCAGAGAAAAAACAAGTTTGCATCTATGTCTATCTCAACTGTGATCTGGCTGGATATGATCTAAGCTTTGAATGGTGCCTGGGCACATTTCTGATGCATAATATGTGCTTGACAATACTAAGTAGGAGCTTTGGGTTGGGTGTATACCCTGATACTAAGGAACTGACACATGAAAATGAAGACCTAGCTTTTATAATTCAGCCTTTCTCTATTTTCTCATTTTGGTCACAAGTTTCCTTTTCTGTTGGGTCCCTCTCAAATAAATGCAAAAATCTAACAAATTAGTTAATTAACAAAAAAGTGGCAGGGGGAAGTGGTTCTTCATAGCATCAGAGCATTCTTCAGTTTAAATCATTTGTTACAGAATCCCTTTTAAAGTAAGACCTCTTTCCTCAGTGTGAAAATTTATAACCCTCCCCAAGCACCTGATCCTATTTCTCCTCTCTCTACTCCTTGAGGAAAAAGGAGAGTTCTCCAATTAAATTTTCCTTAAAATTTTTTTGTATTTGTTGACTTTTTAGATAGAGAAAGGGAGAGAGAGAGACAGAGATAGGGATAGATAGATAGAGAGAAAGAGACAGAGACAGAGACATCGATTTATTGTTCCACTTATTTATGCATTCATTGGTTGCTTATATGTGCCCTGCCAGGGGATGGAACCCATAACCTCGGCATCGCAGGGATGATGCTCCAACCAACTGAGCTACTCACTAAGGGCTCTAATGAAAATTTTCTTGTTAATAGCATCTTATATTCCTTTAAATGTTTTATCCTTGTAAAGCACTTCCAGACCCACTATGCTCTTGTACTAGAAGGTATAAATCATACACCTATTTGAAAGGTAAGAAAAGCTATGTGTAGTAAATTGGTACATGCAGAACCTGAACTCAGGATCTTTTCGGTCACATCCAGTGCTCTTGAACCAGAAGCAAATGACCCAATATTCATGTTCACTGGCGTTGTGCTATTGCTCTTTCTCCCCTCGTAGAGCTGGTCCCAAGCATCTTCCTCTTTCCTCCTTGATTAATTCTGATTCCTGCCTCACCTCATATAATTACTAAATGGGAAAGACTTGAGTGAATCAATATTCAATCAACTTGAATGTCAACCAGACATTCAATATTTATTAAATGTCAACCAGACATTCAATATTTATTGAATGTCAACCAGAAGCCAGACTTTGAAGAGTTTTAAGGAGAAACTTAATATTCTCTGTCACTTAAAAATGCTATGGTGAGATTGGAATCAATTATCTAAAAAGAGTATGTGCCTATTAGCCATGCTGGAGTCCCATACAGGGACAGATGTGTTCTGTCCCTGTTTGTAAACCTGGAAATAAACTTCAGTAGGCTCTGGTGTTAAGCAACTGAGTTAGTGCAGTAGTCCTGAACTTAGAGAAGGTCAGAGCCTAGAACAGGAATACAGACCAAGGCACTGCCCTGAGCTCGCCCAGAGCCTCCAGATTCTGAATGGTCAGGCTTCACACCCCTTTGGGCCAGAGATAGACCTCAGTTCTCCCCACCATCTGCTGACTTTTTCTTTTGTTTTTACAAACTCCCCTTGCTCTCTCCACCACTGGACATTGCATTAAGTCCCAATCCCCTCAGCCTTGTAAATGCACCAGGCTCTTCTTCATCTACTTAGCTCCTCCTTCTCCTTCAGCCCATCACCTACCACCAGCCTGCCTCAGGAAGCCTTTTCTGACATGCAGATCTGGTCACACACCCCTATGAAACCCTCTACCACTTTCAGCCTTATCATATTTTGTATTTTTATGTGCACTTGTATGATTGTTTAATATTTGACTCTCTGCTCTCAGGTGCCTAAGATCCTAGGAGGGTTGGGGCTGGTTTTAAAAGTCAGTGCCTGGCACACAGTAGGCCTTCCAGGAATGAAAAATAAACATTCAGACATGCCTGGATGCCTAGACCTAAACAGCCTGGACCTCTGAGGAAAAGGCAGAATGGAGTGGATTTGCTTCATTAATACCAGGCCTCTTGGCTCCTTAGCCCTGTGTGACACTCTGAAGTCTAAAGATTGTTTGTCCCAAGCCCCTGAGAGACTTTAAGCTCTCAAAGAGCAGACACCCCACTATATTGAGTGTTGTGACCCCAGAACCTAGCTGTGCCTTTTACTTAGCATACAACACACACACACACACACATATCTCTTAGTAAGTATTAGCCATTGCCAGCATTAAAGAATACATTCTGGAGGGTGGTACAAAGGGGGAGAGGTTATTTGAAGAAATGTTCGAGGTTGAGCTGACTCTTGAAAGAATACGAACATACTCTTCACTCACATATGTTTTTAAATGGGGGGTAGGGGGGGTAATTTTCCTTCTCCCTTTCTTCTGGAAAACAAATAAAAACAATCAAACCTCTTAACCAACGTCTTCACTTTTCTAGGCTTTCACTCTCTTATCTTCCCTCACTTCCCAGGAGAATCCCTGACGCGCCTACGGTCCCTGCGGAGGCTGCAATCACTGCGATGCCGCCTGACATTTCCTGGTTAGCGTGCAACTTTGTTGATCATGCATGTAGTTGGAACCTCTCTCATGGAGATGGTATTTAAGGTCCTCACGGTGAGAGTCGCAGGATTCATAAACAAGGAGAAACGAGTCTTTGCTTCTTCCCGTTCACCGACATTTTTAGCGGGCAATGCCATCTCGCGATTGGCTGGAGTAGGGTGCGACCGGAGCCACCCAGCGGCCTCGGTCCCGACCCCGCCTCCCTTCGCAACCGTTCTGTCACGCAGGCGCGTTGGCGCGCGCAGGGCTGAGGGCGCGGGGGCGGAGCGTGCTCGGACTTCCTTAAATAGGGGTGGAGGGGGCGGTGCTGCTAACCAGTCGGTGCCGGTCGCGGCAAGTGAGCGTTCGGTACTGCTACTTCCAGTGGTGTTGGTTGTGGCGGCAGTGGCAGCGGCACAGGCAGCAACGACAGGAGGTAGCCGAGGTAGCCCAGGCGAGCGGGCGGCGGGCTCCATGGAGTGCGGTGGACGTCGGAGCAGAGGCGGCGCTTCCTCCCCGACACACGGGCTTCAGTGATCCGCGCTCGCGCCCTGCCTCGCGTCGGAGCGGCAGCCGTCTCCGTGACTGACCGGCTCCTCCCTGCGCCGCCGCCTAGCTTCCCGACACCCTTGCGCCCAACTCGCCCTGGTCCCCACTCCCCGGCGGAGTGGCGGCCGCCGGGCCACCGCAGCGGCGTCTAGAGCATCAGCGGCCAGAGCCCGCCTCTATGATGAAGTTCAAGCCCAACCAGACGCGGACCTATGACCGCGAGGGCTTCAAGAAGCGGGCGGCGTGCCTGTGTTTCCGGAGCGAGCAGGAGGACGAGGTGAGAGAGGCCGGGGCGGTAGGGGTGCTCGCCCTAGCTCGTCTCTTTCTGCGCCCGACGCTCAGTCTGGTGGCTCAGCTGGGATGGATTAGCCCCCTCCCCTCACCTCCCTTTCGTGAGTCCTCCCTCTCTCCCTCCCTCCTTTCTTTCTCTTCGAAGAGACAAAGGGGCTCGCCCAGCCTAACGTCCTCCTACTGGGGCGTGTGGAGGACCTGAGGCCGAAACGCCTCTAGCACCTGGGAAGGCCCAGTGCCTTGTAGGTCGCTCCTAGCCATTCACCATGTTAACGTGCGACCTGAGTGTAAGCCAGATAAATCTTGAGCGCTAATGGAGGGAGTGGAAATGGCGTGAGTGTTGCAGTTCTAGTCTTTTTGCCTCTTCTATTTTCCTTCTATATTACAACAGTTCGCGGTTTCGTATTCAATCTAGGCTAATTTGTGAAATAGTCAAACAGTCCCCGTGCTTTAAAATAAAAACTCATTCGGTCGAGTTCTCTTAGTGCCACTTTTAAGCAGCTCGTTTAACTCACCAGCACTTGTCATAATTATACTTTTTGTTGCTTTTGGAGGGTGCGGGGGGGGGGGAATCTCTAAAGTTTTCTGACTGCAGAAAAAGGAGCAGTGAGAAGTGGGGAAATGCCAGAAGGGTGATGAGTAGAGGTGGACAAAGTTGCCATTTTCAGACAGCAATCTCTACCTCTTAGAATATTTATCAAAGCTTCTTTGCTGTGTTTGGTTAGACATCTGAAGAGGAGCTTTCTTGTTCTAAGAACAAGCAATCAATCTGTAATTTATCTGTCTGCATTGGGTTAATAGTGATTTCCCTTGAAAATTTCCCCTGGAGAGCAGTTTTTACATATTTTAGTTACATTTACTTAATTTGAAAATGGCTCTCACTGCTTTAAGTTTGCTCGGGGCCATAACAGACGATTGGTAGCCGAAGAAGATGTTTTAGCATTGCAACTTTAAAAATGATTAAACAGCAAAAAAAAAAAATCTGAGTTCTACTTTCATAACCATCTGTGTACAATACAATAAAATACCGGGCTAAAGCTGGAGACAGGAATTTAATGGCTTCCTTATTGCTGGGCCCTGTAGTTAGGATGAGTGTGACATGCGGTACACGCAGTTCTTAGCATGCTAACAAAATTCAAAGGGCTTCAAAATGGTGCTCTTCTAATTAATGTTTTGTCGTTATTTTAAAAGATATTTTTATTTATTTATTTTCTGAGAGAGGGGAAGGGAAGGAGAAAGTGGGAGAGAAACATCAATGTGTGGTTGGCTCTCACATGCCCCCAACTGGGGACCTGGCCTGCAACCCAGGCATGTGCCCTGACTGGCAATTGAACCAGCAACCCTTTGCTTCACAGGCCCGTGCTCAATCCACTGAGCTACACCAGCCAGGGCTGTCTTTATTTTTTGATAAGAAACCAAGCTTTTTTGTGATGAGCAGTGCTTAGTTGGGGGTGTTCATTTTGAAGGAATTTTCAGAATAAATTGGTCTGTGTAGAGGATGTGGGCCTGTTTTTAATTTTTCCAAAGTAACAAAGTCAACAAGCATTAAGTGCATCGTATGAAAAAATAAAAATAAAAAAAAGATTAGAAGGTCCTTGAGGGAAGGACATGAGGGCAAAGCAGTCTTTGAATATGTGTGTGTGGGTGTGGGGGTGTGGGTGTAAAATGGCCAGAAGCAATCAAGGATCTTGTCTGAATGCTCACTATTATGTAATCATATTCTTGGCAGTGCCCTACTGCCTAAAGACGTTTAAGTTCTATTTAATCCTGTTATTGCTGGTTTACAGGTGAGGAAACAGTTGCAGAGCAAAAGTACTAATATAATGACGTGATTAATAAGTGGTAGTCTCGGATATCTGGTCCGTGCGCCTGGTGCTGGGCTCTTGGCACAGGGACCAGCCCATAGCAATTGGGTGCACACTATTTGCTGAATGAGGGAGATTTTGTGAGGCTGAGCTTGGAGGCCTTTCTGAAAGTAGTGACTTTGAAGTCGTGCCATAATGTGAACTTGGAATTCAGGCTTTGTAAAACACAAGGTCCCAAGGGAAAATATGGGAAATGGGAGGAAATTGAAATGATCTGTGTTGTGTGAATGGTAAAGCAAAGTCTGAGAATTTCAGAAGTTGCTTTAGCAAGATAAATGAGTTCTTGTGCTGGAAAGTTATTTCTACTGTAATAAATGCAAAGTTACTAGCCTCTAGTTGAGTCAGGAGACTAGTGCCATTAGATGAAGTAAGGAGCAAGATTTGAAGAATTTCTTAGATAAATTCATTATATAAAAACTGTAAATCTGGTAACTTCTGGGTTGAAAAACTCAGTAACTCTGTTAGAGAATATGCTCTGAGGGAAGACTGAATTCTCTGCAGTGTATAGCCATTTAATGTCTGGGTTACCACTTCAGAATCATCTTCATTTCTGTATTTGTGTATAATTGGGGGGCTCCTTCTGTTTCATGATAATTAGAGAATGAACCTTATTAGTTAGCTTTCCTGGACATCTTGGTTTTTTGCCATGAATTTTTCCCATTCTGTTGAAATTACATTGCCAGCTTTCCAAGGATAGGATATAAACCAGCCTGAACCTACTACCTCTCTTTAGCTAATGAGTGAGATTTCATTCCCCTGTGTACTGAGTTTAGCATACCTAGATCCTGGTTGGGAGATTGAAACATGCTTTATTTTATTTATTTATTTTTAGAGAGAGGGAAGGGAGGGAGAAAGGGAGAAACATCGGTGTATGGTTGCCTCTTATGTGCCCCCTACTGGGGACCTAGTCTGAAACCCAGGCATGTACCTTGGCTGGGAATCGAACTGGTGACCCTTTGGTTCACAGGCTGGTGCTTAATCCACTGAGCCACACCAGCCAGGTCTGTATGCTTTATTTTAGGATGAAATGTTTATAGAATATAAATTAAAATAAGATAGTAATTACTGTTTGGCCCCAAAATGCTCTGCAGTGCAGTGATACGACTATTCCTGTACTGAAGTTGTTCTCAGTAGCCCTTAAAAGGTTGTTCTAACAAGAAGTTTGTATTCTTTTGGGATGATTTTTATGTATTTTTCCATTTTATCTTTTTCTGCTCTGTGAGCTAAGTAATAAACATTACCATTTGAATAGTAAGAAATTGGGCAGCAGAAGTAATGTAATCAAGGTCACAGAAGCTGGCAGATCATTTTGAGCCCAGGTTTTTTATTTCTAAATCTATGTTCATTTGATCATCATCTCTTCAGCTACTTACTTCTGTGTGGGACCACCCTAGATTTTGGCATTGGGGGTTCTAGACAAGCACACACATACTGCCCCACAGAGCAGCTGGGATACTGTGCTTGTGCAATGAAAGAGGGCATGCATTCACAAAATGTAACCAAAAATGGATTCCTTTGAATATATTTGCATGTTTTATATTTTTAACAGGGATGCAAAGATTTAAAAGTGTCAGCTCCTAAAGAACATATTCTGTAGCAGGAAGTTAGATAAATGACTGATAAAAAGGGATAAAAGTAAGGTGAAAGTGCAACCGGGTGCTCCAGGGGTAAGAGTTAGTGAGTTATTTGGAGTTGGTTTTCAGTGAGTAGGAAAGGAAGGAGCTGCAAAGCATCACAGGATTTGGCTGTTGCTGTGGTCTGGCTGGGCTGCAGCTTAGGACAGCATGGGACAAATAATAGTTGAAAATAGAGCTTCTTAAATATGAGCCCTAAGAATTGCTAGGCAAGAAAAAGGAACTTACAGTTTTAAACAAGTAACATTTAGATTTTAGATATATTCAGGTTTGAGAATGATCTGGCAGCAAAATAGTATACAGTGCTAAAGGGAGAAACAAATGACTTGATCCTGGGTGAGATCCAGGCACAGTTGGAGTGAGAAACATTGACAAATGTTTCTCAACAGTCTTAAAAACTGACTTTTTTTTTTTTCTTTTAAAGAAAAAGCAGCTTATTGTTCAGAGGAGCATACAGTATGTTTCCCTCGGCCATGGCTGTGGTGGGTGACCCACAGAAGGGGAAGGAGGTTCACCCTGCACCCAGAGCTGACTTCCATTTTGACTTAAACTCCCTGAACCAGTGGCCCTGTTCTACAGGATCCCCAATCTATATCCACGAAGTATCTGAGTTCTGTGAATTCATGCACTGAAACTAAGGTTTGGTGGGAAAAGCAGTCTCAAAACTTACAGAACTCCAAAACCAGAGTTCTAATAAACAAAAACAAGTATAACAAGAAATATTAGTGCAATTAAATCTCTACTAGCATTTTTATGCATAGAATAATCAGGTGGTCCACCTTTTTTAGAAATATATTCTGGGGCTTGTATTTCCTCTAAGTCTTTGAAGATGCTTGCTTCAAATGGAGACCACTTTCGTCAAAATGAAGTAAATATCCACAGGCAGGCTTTTCTAAATACAGGGAGATGTCACCAACCTCTACATTCATGCCTTTACCTCCCAGACCACTCAAGTAGGCACTTCCTTCAAGGGAAGGCACTTCTGTAGAATTTGCATCTGCTTTTATTTTCCTTAGGATATGGGTATATCACCAAGGCTTAATAATAACAGTAGATGGCTGGTTAGTAGATAAAATAACCATTGTTGTAACCTGTGATCTTTTAAAACGTCTGTATGCATAGTGGGTGTTTCTGACATACCGCTGGCCTAATTTTGGCTAAATGCCTATGAAATAGCTAACCTATGGCAGAGGTAGTTGCACCATTCATGTAATCCTAGTTCATGATAATGGGGGATGAAAGAACAAGCACATGCCAGAAGAGCTTCAAAATAGCTACAACTCACAAAACAAAACTCTTCCTTCTTACATTTAGGGATCACTTCCAGAGTTCTCTAGAGACCTTTGTTTTTCCTGGGAAAGCAGTGTTAATCTGTAGTGGCTGGTTGTTCCCAGAGGCAAGGCTTGGCCAAGGGCAATTTTAAGGGTAACAAGTGAAACACAAAGGGCAGTTTGGGGCCACTTGCTGTAGGGGACTAACTATCCCCATGTACCTCCAGTCTCTGAAGGCATAACTGCATTGCATAGAATCTGAACAGCATTTTTAGTTTACCTGCACTCACAGTTCCCCAGTGAGAAGGATTTCTTGGGCAACGTAGAGTATAAAATCTGTAATATAGATCATTTCAGTTCACAGACTCAAGGCTGTTTCCAAGTTGACCACTATCACTACTTAAAAGGAGAAATACTTCTGTTCCAAATGTTTAACACATTAGTGTCTAAGAAAAAGACAAGGTTGAGAAATGACTTTTCAACAATGCCAGGTATGTGGTGTTTTATTCTGATAATCATCCAGTACAGGCGAAGAGAGGTACGGTCTGGTAGTGTAGTAAGAGGAATGCTTATATGAAGGTGGTCAGGTTGGATCAGAGAAGTGTCTTCATTTTTCACCGCTCTTAACAGCATTGGCTTGGGTTTTGGGTATGATTCAAGTCTAATTCTGCAGTCTGGTTGGTTACTGGCCTCCTTTATACAAATCTTTTCTTTGGTCTCAGCTCTGGCTTATCTGGAACATTGAATGCCTACTTCCATCTCTGCTCTCTTGTCACTAAAGTGACAGACTATCATGTTGGATGTAGGAGGTCTGTCTGGAAAAAGTCCAGACATTGTTAATATAACAAGAGTAGTGTGCAACATTGATGTAACCTGGCAGCCAAGGAGAATGGACGGGAATGCATGTGCTTGAACAGTAATGACTTTACTGTACCTAGTCAGTGGGGGCAGTAGATATTATTGAGTGAGCATGTGTACTTTGTGGACTTCACATTCAGAATGACTTGAACAAGTAGAGCAATGAATCTGCATCAGATTTTGTGTTAAGCTTGAACATTGTTCTGCTGAAATGATTCTGATGATTCAGAAGTCCGAAGCTATGGGCACCTGGTGATTGGCAGCTTCATCATGACAATGCGTCCGCTCCTGCAGCACGTCTCGTGCAGAGTTTTTTTGGCAAAACAGCAAATCACCCAGGTGACTCAGCCCCCTATAGCCCAGAGTTGGTGCTCGGTGACTTCTGGCTTTTCGAAAAACTAAAATTACCTTTGAAAGGGAAGAGATTTCAGATCGGCGATAAGATCCAAGAAAATAAGCCAGGGGCGGGTGATGGCGATTAGGAGAACTGTGTGAGGTCCCAAGGTGCCCATTTTGAAGGGGACTGAGATGTCATTGTCCTATGTACAATGTTTCTTGTATCTTCAACGAATATCTCTTTTTCTTATTATGTGTCTGGATACTTCTGAACAGACCTTATGCGAAATCTAATATATTCAGAAAGGTAGTTGAAAAGGAATTTAAAACCTATGAAAAGACTATGTGGTTTCTGTTAGCAGTTGGTGTATCTTTACTGAATAAACTTATAGCCTATCTTTGTCACTTCAGTAATGCCATTTTCAAAGCATTAGTTAGTGTGCTAAAGTTATATTATAGACCTTAGTAGATTTGGGATGTCCTAGAAATGTTTAGATGGTTTTACAGAAGAGACTGTTGAATAATAATGCTTTGGAACGTGATTCTGTAGCTTTAGATTCTTCCGGTGTGCTGGAGGGGTTTTAATTGTTCTTGTCTCTTCTTATGCTACTAATATTCATTTCTTCTGCCCTGGCAGACCCATGCCATAGTTCTATATAGTCTATGAAGTATAGCCCTTGGTTCTTCCTCTTTCAGTACCTCACTTCCCTTGCCTTCCACCTCACACACAGATGTGGCCTTGACCTCATTTGAACTCCAGATTAAGTACTGAAGATGACAAGTACTTAATGAAGCATTCTGGTTTTCAAATTGGTACCCATCGCCAAAATCTTCTTATCATATCTCTTAAGCTAGTAATTCAGACATTGATCATTCTGTACACAGGTATTAATCACTCATTTAAATTGATCATTGTTTGGAAAAATGCATTTCAAGTTAATGGTTTGATCCAATTTAATCATTTTTGGAATGTCAGTGCACAGTAAGTTCTTGGTTTCAGCTAAATAATTTGTCCAAAACTTATATAGATCTGTGTTTGGGGGCTTGCTAAATAGTAATTTATGAAGGGAGATGTTGAACCATGTGGGAGGTTCCATGTGTCTGACTTTGGAAGAAGTCAATGAAGTCCTATAGATAAAGATTTGGTATTAAATTGGAAGCTACAGTGTTTGGAAAAGCAGGTGCAGACTATACCTGCACCTCAACATTATTAATGTTGGTTTTTCAACATTATTAATCTTACTGTAATTTAGCTCTTATCTTGGACAAATGGGATATGACAGTCATCAACCTAGATACATGACACTGAGTTTTATTTTTTCAGGACTCAAACATTAGGAATATCTGTGGTTTTGAAACTGCCTATTTAGTAAGTGAAGATGTACTTCCCAGTGGCTAGCCATTGTGGAGGTAATCAAGAAAGTTGCTTACAGAGCACTGAAGTGTGTAGTAGGTGTTTCATCCAGGCAGTAGAAACCAGTTTATCCCTAACCCACACCTATGACCAGGAAAACAGGACTCCAACTCTTCAGTCAGGACCAGTAGTTACCATTTACTTTTCCCTTGTTGCTCATGTATCTTAAACATTTTTAACTTAAAAAACTTCCATTTATTCGCCAGTCTTGATATAGGGCTGAAGCCTTTGAATGCCGTAGATTCTTGGCTAGATTTGCTTATTCTGGCTCTTTAGTTTCCAATTTTAATATGTAAGCCCTGTTTGCAAATACTTAAAGCTTAAGTTTAAGACCTTACATTTTATTTCACGAAAATTGTTGTGTTTGGACTTGGTGGTACCCTCAACATTAGCCATTAGTACTTTAGCTAGGGCTTTGTCACCATTGTGTTAATTTATAGTACTTCTCCTAGATTTACCACTGTTCTGCCAGTTACTGAAGGAACGATGCCAGTGGGAGCAAGAGTCCTGTCCAGATCGAGAATGAGAGAACTAATAATGTTCGACCCCTTGAGCACTGCTCTGCCATGCTCTGGTGTGTCTGTAGGCAAAGGCATCTGCTTTTTTTTAAGTCGACATTATGTGCCTGAATTAACATATCTTCCACTTCAACACTTTAGAGGTTTTGGGAAAAGCTGGGAATTGCTGAACTACTATCGGCCTAGAACTTTACAGAAGGGTGGGGGGGGTTGGGTTTGTGGCTGCTTACTCAGGTAGAAGGTGGGTCCTGTGCTGGGGTCCTGTGCTGAGCTCCTCAGGCAGTTAGCGGGGAGCTGGGCAGATGGACCTGCGGCCTGGGTGTCAGAAAGTCAGGACCTGCTGTGGGTTTGCTCAGGTTTAGAGCAATTAGACTTTGCTCTAAATTGATGGGTTTATCTGGTGAGAACTGTTTATATTCAGTTGAGGGCAATATATATACTAAGATAATTTTACAATCATTTTTGTTAATATTGGTTAAAACATCTGTTATCTTTGTAAATGTCATTTGGTTATTTATCATAAACTTTTTAAAATTTGGGTGAATTTCAATCGAGCCTAGCCCACATATTTTCATTTATAAGGTAGATATGTAATAGTTTCAGTTACTATTAAAATAGCGAGCCTCTAGGATACTCTATGATAACAAGTTGGCTTTTTTTAAAGTGTTTGCACATTTCAAGCTTAATGTGTTTTTGGTGGTTGTTTTTGTTCTTGTTGTTTTTTTAGAGAGGAAGGGAGGGAAATAGGGAGAGAAATATCGATGGATGGTTGCCTCTCGTGTGTACCCTGCTGGGGGACTGGCCTGCAACCCAGGCATGTTCCCTGACTGGGAATTGAACCGCAATACTCTAGTTCGCAGGTCTGCACTCAATCCACTGAGCTACACCAGCCAGGGCCTTGAGCTTAATGCGTTTCTTGATTGGAGTGTACAGACTTTTCCTATAAGTGACCAGATAATATTTTAGGCTTTGTGGGCCATATAGTCTCTGTCACTACTATTCAACCCTAGTGGTAGCACAGAAACATTCCCAGACGATTGTAAAAAATGAATGAATATGACTAGACTCTCAAAGTTTTATTTATGAACACATTTATTTTATGAATAAAAATTATTTCATATTTATTTATGAAATTATAATTTTATATAATTTTAAAATATAAAGGCCATTTAGAACTCACAGACTGTACAAAAACAGGCAGTAGGCCATAGCTCGGCAACCCTTTGCAAGACCATAAGTTAAAGCTGCCTGGTATCAATATGGAGCAACACTTGCTAATTTACATAGGTTGGGGAAATGAAAGGTGCCTCTTTCCATCTAATCTTAAGTGTAAAGATAACAGGAATTCTCTATGCACCCAGCATTGGCTTTCCATGAATTTTCCTATTCCCTTCTCACAGCATCTGCTATCTTCTAAGTGTCCTTATGTTTTATAGGTGGAGGAACAGGGTGACTTGCCTATGGTTACATACCTTAAATTTGGACGAATGATGTGATCCTGTAACTAAGGAGCAATGGATCTGATCACCAACATTAGTGCATACAGTTTGGGGGCTAATAAGCTAATAAGCCTCTGCTTTTATACTCTATTAATATCTAAGAATGAGAGAGTTTTACTAATTGAATCTGGTCATTCAGGGGATTTAATTAGGTAAAAATTATTTAGTGATGAGATCATGTTATTGTTGAATTATTAATTCACAAAGACAATATTAACAAAGGCTGTGAACTGCCTCTTTTTTGTGGTATAATATGTACCCCCATTAACATTAATAAAATTTAAAAGTGGGTTAATGTAGAAGAGATTTACCATTTTGTGACGGATTGAGAGTGTTGTTCACATGGATGATGCTTCTGAGGCCGGCAGTACATGTTTACAGTGGGTCTTGCAGGTGCTGTTGGTGAGCAGCAGTCGGTACCCAGACCAGTGGATTGTCCCAGGAGGAGGAATGGAGCCTGAGGAGGAGCCTGGCGGTGCCGCTGTGAGGGAGGTGTATGAAGAGGTGAGGTGAACAGTAGTTTGTATTTTCTCTTCACACAGACTATATTTTGGTATTTCACAGGACACACAAATAAGGCATTTGTTACACTGAGGAGAAGGCAAGAAAACATGTCACATACGTGATTTTTTTGTTTTCCAATTTAACATTTTTAAGCACATGACTATAACTAGCATTTTGCTAAGCAGATATTTTTTCTACCTGATAAAATAGAGCTAAAATCAAGGTGGAAGTCCCCCAGAATTGTAGAACATGGAATTGCATAACAGACAATATGTCTGATCCGTGATCAATAGATCTGTAAAATGATGGCCTTGCCCAGAGCACGGTTAGTATCACACTGAGCCAGAACATAGACATTAATCATGTGCTGTGGTTCTTTTTCAAGTGGATAAGCAACAAATTACTGTTATTGGTTTTTTTTGTGTGTGTGGGTTTTTTTTGTTTTGGGGGGGGGTTTGTTTTTTTGTGGGTTTTTTTTGTTTTTTGTCTTTTGTTTTTTTTTCCAGAAAGTTTAGTAGTGTGGTGTGTACTCACATGCACAAAAGTGCATGTGGGATGCTTCTCTTCTTATACCCAACCATGCACAACTTGCTTGTGCTCACTGGCAAAACTGGATAGGTTAAGTACCCTAAATAGCTCCGGAACAGCAATTAGGTGTGAATGGGAAGCAGATGTTAAAGCTGTTATAGGGCCTTGTTGCGTAGTCGGGGAGGTTTGATAGAGATGGACCTTGAAAGATGAGTGGCTACACAGGGGCAGAACACATTTGAAATAGACAAAACAAGTATGTGCCAGTCTGTTCAGTTCACATTGTGGATTTGAATGGGGGACACCCTGAGGTTCTGATCATTCTTTTACTAGGTAAGCATAATGAAGACTGTAGTAGTAGAACAGTACCATATAGAAAGCGTTGTACCTCCTGAGGCATGTGGATGAAGGAAAATAGGGTACAGTATTTATTGTTCATAGAGAAAAGTCCATTTTCACTCATGAAATTTGTCCCAAATATGTAGAAATTTAATTTTTGGTCAATCCTTGCCATTTCTTATAAAATAAACGACAGTAAGTCTGATCACCAGGAAATTGTATGCAGGACAAATGAATTCATAGTTTGTAGCAAACCACAGGTGTGGTGAATCTTAGCACAGCCCTCGCCCTGCCCAAAAGTCACACAAGGCATGCTGAGGATGGGAGGGCCTATTGCCTTTAGATTCTAAAGTTGAAACTAGCCAGAAAGTAGTTTTGTTATGGAAAGCTGAAATGTTTGTATTTTGTCTTTTTTTCAATAGGCTGGAGTCAAAGGAAAATTAGGCAGACTCCTGGGCATATTTGAGGTGAGTTACAAAAGTAATCCTTGGTTTGCTAAGAAAATTAATTACTCCTTCTTAACCAGCCAGATGATTTGGCAGCAGCCTTAAACTAGACGTAGACATTCCTGTAAAACTGTCAGTAGGCTGGTCTTAAGAATCAGGAGGGACAGTCCTGGTTGAGCGTTGTCCTGCAAAGCAAAAGGCCGCCAATTCTCATAGGGCTGTGTGAGGACACAGAGCTTGTAGAATAGATGCTAAAAGCATGAATTCTCAACTGTAAAGTTCCTTATTACTGAATGCAGAATGGAATTTATGAGGAGGGAATTTTTCTTATTTTTAAGCATTTTTTACAGGAATTTAGAAGTAGTTCTGATGGTACAGTATTTGGTAAAATTGATTCTCAGAATACAATAATTGTTAAAAGTTCTTTGTTTTTTTAAGTAAAATTCTTAAGATACTATTAATACTTTCCCAGGATTCCGCACTTGCTTTACCCAGGTAAATAGCACCATCTCCTGGTTAAGCTGAAAGATATGCTGAGTAGCCACTGGTACAAATAGCACATTTATCAGTATGCTGACAAGGTTTTTGAAGAAAACTTCTCACATTATAAAAAAAAAAGCTTATGTAACACGAGAAGGTACTAGTATTAAATCCTTTATTATGTAGTATTCATAGAGGAGATTTTATTTAACTTAATAGAATTTGGAGAGGAAATGGTAATCAATGTAACTTTATCCTTTGAACATATAAGAGAAAATTAGAATTGCCCTATTCATTCACCCTGCTGATTTCAGTGCATTTGTGAACATTACAAAATAAAGGTATTGCTTGGCCAGGCATAGAGATAACGAATTCTTAAAAATAAGGAACAGTAATGTGAGAGATGTCTCTACTTTATCACTATTCTAATTTCTTCTCAAAGACATAATAACACTGTTGAAGTGAGTGGGTTAGTGGGGTCATTTGTGGTGGAAAACATTAAGACAGTTGTCTGCAGTCTTAGACTACAGACACAGCACGTAAGGCTATCTCGAGTTAAGATGGAGGTGAGCCCATTCGTCTTAAGACCAACTTCTGGACTTCCGCCAAGATGGAGGCATAGGTGGATGTGCCGTGCCTTCTCACACAACCAAGTTTAGAGACAACTAAATATTAGCAACAGAAAACACAGCCAGAACACAGAAAATTGAACTTTTCGGAAGTCTGTTAACAACAAATTCTTCAGCCTGGCCGGTAAGGGTCGAAACCAGCAGCTGGTGGAACGGGGTTGCACAGGAAAACTCGGTCAGACGGACTCAGTCACTCAGATTCCAGGCGCAGGGTTGGACCTAGTGAGCGACTGCGGGGAAACAGTGAGGGAGCAGGGCTGAGGGTTGACTGTGGTCGCGCATTGGTGCGCACGGATAGACAAGCGAGGGAGTGGGCGATTGGACCAGGACCCAGTGGGTCCCTGCGGCAAGCGGCAGGGAGGGCGCCACCATTTCCCCGCTCTGACCCCACCTCCACATACAGCGTCATAACCTAGCGACCTGGGAGCCGAAGGCTCCGCTCCTCACACTTAAAGGGCACGAACAGACCAAAACTGGCTCAAGCAAAGCTCCAGAGCCTATAAATCTAAGCGATGAAGAAATAGCAAACTCTCAGATGCACAGTTTAAAACACTGGTGATCAGGATCCTCACAGAACTGGTTGATTACAGCCACAAATTAGACAAATATATGAAGGCGAAACTAATTGAAATGAATGGAATTGCACAGGAAACCAATAGCAATGAAAAGGAAACTGGGACTCAAATCAGTGGAGTGGACCAGAAGAAAGCAAATAAAGGCCAAACAGAAAAGAGTCAAGAAGCAAGAATTCAAAGAAATGAGGAGAGTCTTAAGAACCTCCAGGACATCTTTAAACGTTCCAACATCCGAATTATAGGGGTACCAGAAGGGGGAAAGGCACAGCCATCAGTGGAAAACTTATTTGAACAAATAATAAAGGAGAATTTCCCCAATCCGGCAGAGGAAATAGACTTCCAGGAAATCCAGGAAGCTCAGAGAGTCCCAAAGAAGTTGGACCCAAGAAGGAAAACACCAAAGCACATCATAATTACATTAGCCAAGATTAAAATGAAGGAGAGAATCCTAGAAGCAGCAAGAGACAAGGGGACAGTCACCTACAAAGGAGTCCCCATCAGACTGTCAGCAGATTTCTCAAAAGAGACCTTACAGGCAAGAAGGGGCTGGAAAGAAGTATTCCAAGTCATGAAACCAAAGACCTACAACCAAGATTGATCTATCCAGCAAAACTTTCATTTAGAATGGAAGGACAGATAAAGTGCTTCTCAGATAAGATCAAATTCAAGGAGTTCATCATCACTAAGCCCTTGTTATATGAAATGTTAAAGGGACTTACCAAAGAAAAAAGTTAAAGAAACATGAACAGTGAAAGGACAACAAACTCACAGTTATTAACAACCACACCTAAAACAAAAGCAAACTAAAAGGACAGCTAGATCAGAAGTGGAAACATAGAAATGAAGATCTCAAGGAGGGTTAGCAACAGGGGAGTGGGAGGAGGAGAAGGGGGGAGAAGGTACAGAAAATAAGTAGCATAGACAGTAGATAGAAAATAGATAGGGGGCAAGAGTAGCATGGGAAATATAGAATCTAAAGAACTTGAGACACATGGACATAAACTAAAGGGGGAGTAATGGTGGGGACGAAGGGGGTAGGGTGGAGGGGAATGAAGGGGGGGAATAGAAGAACTTTAACAGCATAATCAATAAAGAAATTTTAAAAAAAAGACCAACTTCTGTGTAATTTTGAACCTGGGGGCAAGACTAGGTTGCAATTTTAATATGGGTAAAGTCAGGTTTGACTACAAGACTTAACAATAATGTTCCATGAATGGATTAACCCAAGTACTCTGAACCTTGGTTGTGTGTAGTTCATCTGAAAGCTTTCAGACAGTTAGACAATAACTGAACTGTCTCAAAAAAACATTCTTCCTGGGTGATGGAAGGGATGGCTGAGGTGGAGTGGAGGCTCTGCTCTGTGCACCTGTGAGGGGAGTGTTCTGAAGTAACTGGGAACTGCTCTGCAGGTCCTGAGGAAATCAGTTCTCTGTGGTGTTGAAAGGCTATCAGGACTAGCCCCAGGGAACAGGACTTTGGAAATGACAGGAGTGCAGTTCTTTTAATATAGATTCCATTCCAATCTTAAGATTTTCTTTATGACAGTTACTTATCTGATGGACAGAAATCGGAGTGCTAAATTAGGTTTAGTATTGGGAGCTGATTTTAACATTTTAAGTATTTTGTCTTACGTAAACTCATTTTTCAGCCGGATTATACAACTGAGTATATTTGCCTATGCTGGCAAGTAGCATTGTGTCACAACTGAATTTTTCCCCTCAAAAATATGTACACAACTAGCTCCTGTAGATTAAAATGCTTTCTTTTTTGTATTCAAGCAGAACCAAGACCGAAAGCACAGAACATACGTTTATGTTCTTACTGTCACTGAAATATTAGAAGATTGGGAAGATTCTGTTAATATAGGTAAGTTTCCTTTTCTTTTGCTGTCTCAATCTCTTCATTCAAATAGTGCACACTTGTAACGAATTTGTGTCTTAAATTAGTGTTTACCTTCCTTTTAGAGAAGGGAAGGTCAAGGTATACATTCACATTTGAATTATTTTATTTTAAATATTTTATTTATTTCTCTTTAGAGGGGAAAGGAAGGAGAGAGGGAGAGAAATATCAATGTATGGTTGCCTCTCATGAGTCCCCTGCTGGGAACTGGCCTGCAACCCAGGCATGTGCCTCGACTGGGAATCGAACTGCGATACTTTGGTTCACAGGCCCGCACTCAATCCACTGAGCTATACCAGCCAGGGCCACATTTGAATTATTTTAAAATTCAACATTATTGTTGTCTGTGCCATTCCAAAAAATGGTCATTATTTGTGAGGGAAGAGTGTGAGGGTATGGCTTACTTTTTATACTGATTTTATTGTATGGTGACCAATGTCATTCCTATTTTCTAGGAAGGAAAAGAGAGTGGTTCAAAGTAGAAGATGCCATTAAAGTTCTCCAGTGTCATAAGCCTGTACACGCCGAGTATCTGGAGAAACTGAAGCTGGGCTGTTCTCCGTCCAATGGAAATCCCACCGTCCCTCCTCTTCCAGATAACAACACCTTGTTCGTAACTGCTGCACAGACCTCTGGCTTGCCGTCCAGCATCAGATAGAAAGGAAGGCCCTCTCCCACCATGTGCAGTCTCACAAGGGAGAGGCTTCTTTATTTTCTTGGCAAACATCTGAATGACGCTTGCAAACTGTCTGAATTTGCCATGCAAGGTTTTCAAACAATTTGCATGTTTTTCAGATGCTTTCAAATCTTTTTTTAATAGTGTAAAATATTTTAATAAGCCAAAGCCATGTGGAATTTTTTTTTAGATGCCTTAACTGTGCCCCCGACCCCACCTCACCTTCCCATTATTTTGGTTGTCATTTTTTCTGTTTTTCATCCATTTGGTGTCGGTCTGTGGTTTCTGTGAGATCACCTTACTTGTGAGTGTGTTTGCCTACCACCAAATTCTTTTCTCATTCCCAGCATTAATGTAGGCAACAAGTCCATCTGTTGTGGGGATTTACCAAAATCATTCTCAGTATTAAAGAAATCTATCCACCTGAACTTGTTTCATAGGATCACAATTTTATTTCACAAACTCTGTATCTGGACTATTTCTGTATGGCCCAGTAACTGTTTTGACAAAGGGCCTAATTTGCTATTTTCAAGAATTTGTTACTCATTCATCTCCGTTTTCACAACTGGTGTTATATCGCTAGCATAAGTCCCCTGTTCCTCAATAGCCCTTTAACACAAAATTTTGATTGAGTCAAGGTGGCGATTTTTAGGGAGGTATTATAAATAAAATGCATGTAGCAAATACAGCATCTTGTGAAATCTGGTTTCATGGAATTTGAGATAGCACACCTGTTGCCAATTCCTTTTATCCATAATCTCTCTTTATATGGAATACCTGAGGACCAAATTTTCCTCAATGTAAATTGCTTTTCAAAACTATATTTTCAATTTTTGAATTTAGTGACAGGCACCTCATCAGTTAAACTTACCGGTTACCAATGGCCGCACCTAGGTTCGGAGCCTGTGGCCTCAGAACGCCAGTCAGTGATGACTGTGTCGCAGTTCAAATGGCCTTCCTGCTGTTCAGCTGGTACAGACTTAGATTGTTAGGGCACCTTTAGAACCTGTCATCTCTTACAGATTGTTAAAGGGTACTATTTATCATATAGTAACTTGGGCACTGGAATATACCTGAACTAAGAATTATTTTTGTCATATACTTGTCTTTATACATAATAAAATCAAGAATCCTATCTAAAATACGTAGGTACCTTGTCTGAAACTCCCATGCTCTCCCAGACAAACCAGAAATGAGATGAGCAGAAAAATTTTTGAGTAAGATGTGGGTGGGGGAGAAGGGCAAGGTCATTCTGTATGTAGACATTAACTTTTGTAAATATTGTGACTGGTGAACATAAAGTAGAAAGTAAGTGTAGTTATACATTCGTTCTACAAATTGTTAACCTTAAAATGTATAATTGCTGCTAAAAATAGAGTGCTGTTACACTTAAATTTGGTGCCACTTTCAAAAATGATATCTTGTGCCATAAGTGCAGCTGAACTAGATATGAACATTAGCTCACAAATTAATGCTGTTAAAGGAATGAGCAATTTAACCAGTGACATTTCATTATAAATTATGTGGTGTGATCAAACATGATCATCCAGGATGTTGTTTTTTATATTTTTCTTTGTATAGAGGTTATGTATTTAGGGTGTTTTTTAAAAAACATTTTAAATCCCACAGATTGACACTTTCTATCAATCTTAAATGGACTAAAGTTTTTGGTCTCAGTGATCTCTGGAATTTCTTTAAATTACATACTTAACAAAGCAGAGAAACTGGATTGTTTCTGTATATAGGACTGTGTCCACCTGAAATGCTGTCACAAGTACTTGGGGGGGAATGGTATCTTGTACATGATATTCTTAGAGTTAACAATGCATGTACCTGTTTTATAAACTCTTAGACTATGTATTTGATCTGTAAAATATGTACAGTATTAATGTCAGCCACCTCTTAAAAGTGAGCCTATAAATATTGCTGTATAATTTCCTTTGGTCAGAAACATTTGGATGAAGTAGTGCCACTCAAGTCGGGATTTCTTCAGTGCCAGTTAGCAAACCGTCTTCAGTCTATGCAATGAGCAGAAATTTGTGTAATGCAACAGGATATTTACAGTCGTTACAGTTTAAATCTCAAACAGGGTGTTCTTCACTATTCTTCCGAAATCCAGTCTAGCAAAATTAGAGGAAGGGCCCTAAGGGTTTATTTCTGTTCAAAGAGTAAGCCCACATTTTCAGGCTCAACAGTTGAATCTACTACAAATAACAAAAAGTGTCTACTATCTCAACCCTCCAAAGATTAGTGTTGGGACCGTCATTTGTGCTCTCTGTGGGGTAGCTGGATAAAGTTGGACAGATAAAATTGCAGTCCCATTGACTTGCAGACACCAAGTAGCAGCTGTTCTGCATGTTGTTGGGTTTTTGGTTTTTGTAAACACATGAAATTTTCCAACCAGACATGTCATTGAGTTAGTTCTTCAGTGTTAATTTGACAGTTGTATAAAGCAGCAAAACTGAAGGGGCTGGTGATTGTTGTATACACTTTGAATTGCTTTGCATGGTCTCATTTGAGATTATTGGTGTAAGACTTTTTTTTACATTTGGAAACACAAATAAAAATGGAAATAAATGATTTTTTCTTTTTCTTAAACATAAGACCATCTCCAAGTAAAAACTTGTCTGGCATTCCACAGTATCATCATTCTCCCATTGATGGCCACACACGTTATTGCAGTAGTAGTACATTTATACCCTTTCCCACTTACGGTCATTACTAGTGGAATTAACTGGGTCACCAATAATATGTTGCCTTTACTCTCCCAGTGGCTATTTCCTGTATGAGTAGTCTGATGGTGTACCACTGTGGTCTTACATGGCACTGTTCCCCCTCCCAGATGGGGTTGCAAATTAAACTCAATAATTTTCCAGAGCTCTCAATTTACTGTGTTTTGCTGAAAGGTGTTATATATGCTTTCTATACTACCAACGCTTTCATCGAAGTTCGTTTGAAAGGGTAACTGGCTACAGGTACCTTGTTTGCCATTATATTTCCCTAAAATATTGTTTACCAGAAGCCAACTTTACAGTCCTTATGTGAAAATTCTATTCAAATCTCATTTAAATTGTAGGAAAAGAGGCAGCTTGACATTTTCCAGTGTTGCTTTCACATCACAAAACAATTCTCTACAGGTCTCGAATGTTTGTGGATGAAGTGACAAGACTAAACACTTGAGTTTAAAATAAAATTTAAAAAAATACCTCACCCAAGAATACATGGATTTTCAGAGAGGGAAGAGAAACACTGGTTGCCTCCAGGATGTGCCCCATCCGGCTATCAAACCACAGCTTAGGTGTGTGCCCTGACCAGGGATCAGACTCACCTTTTGATGTACAGGGAAACGTTCCAGCCAACTGAGCCACCCAGCCAGAGCTTAAAATGTTTTACTTTCATTATTCAGTTACAGTGCTCCCCATTTTCCTTCCATTACTCTCCCCCACCTCCCACATTCAATCTGCTTCTCCCCCAGGTCTGTCTTTATCCATGGGTGGCTTTTACATGTTCCTAGAGTACCCTTCCCCTTTCCTGTTTTCCCTCTCCCCTTCCCTGTTATTTCCATGTTTCTGGTTCTATTTTGTTGCTTGTTTTTTTGACTAGGTTCCACTTACAGGTGAGATCATACGGTATTTGTCTTTCACCAGCTAGCTTATTTCACTTAGCACAATGCTCTTTTAATAAATTGGTTATAGCTGGAATATTTCTGTGTAGCTGACTTTGTTTTCAAAGTTTCCAACCAACAGTGTGTCAAATTCTTAACATCTGCTTCCTGCCTATGTTGCACTGATGCTATAGCACAGAACAAGTTTCCACCCTCAAGGAAACTTAGTGGAGTGAGATTTGGCTAGGTGTTTGTTCACATATCAGAAGTTCTGAAGCCTGTGGAGATGGCAGCTGATCTAACTCTTAAATAAAATACTGTTACACATACAGGGCACACAACTTCAAGGTCATGACTAGCTGTGAGTTTGTACATGACTGATGTTAACCTGTAACTATTAAGCCGTTTGGTTGTAACACGTTTCAGAAGGGTATGTGATATTCGACACACTTTTTTAAAAAGCCACCCACAAGGTAATGTCTTTCAAGCTTTTACACTTAACATGCACCATCTTAAGAAAAATTTCATTTAAAAATAACCCACCACCAAATACTTAACATTTTATATGGAGCTGTAGACCAAATATCAGGTTAAAAACTGATCTCATCCTGGTGCTAAATTTCCTCTTATTTTTATTACCTTCCTGACTAGTGGTCATTTGCTAAATTCTAGAGTAAAATGAAAAGGCCCTAGTGCCTATCTTAGGACTATTATAGCAAGGGCCCAAATTTAATCAAAGGCTCCGAGTCTTTTTGGCAGAAACTAATCAAATTCCTCCATTTGATGTGATTTCAACCAGTTATGATCCCGAAGTTATTCTTCCCAATATGTGGAAAACTACCCTCTGGACATCACATTTTCTGGTTCTTCCTAAACGCCAGTGCCAGACATATGTATAAAAGTACTGTAAGTCTTACTGATTTTCTCAACTTTTATTCACATTCACTCCTTAATCAAATTAGGGAAATAAAAATATTTGGCTATCAATGTGAATCAAGAAACTTAAACATCTTTTGATGAAGTAATTGAACCAGGAATGTGAACACAGCTTTACGTACGGAGATAAGGCAACTAAAATAGTAAGGCATGAAATAAAATGCCCTGGGCTAAAGGGGTAATGGTTAACTAGTAACAGGTCCACATAATGGACTATCTTAGACATAACCCTGTCACTGAACAACTCCATTTCTGGGGGGACACTTCAAGTTGCACAATAAAAGTATGGTCAAAGGTGTGTAAGGGAATTGCATTATGGTTATCTTGTCAATAGCTATCACTACCAAGAATTAACACTGCCACAGGTGGAAATCCTTTAACAGCAACTTTTTAAAACAGCCGAACACTACACCGTGTTCCTATTGAAGCTCACTTTTTAAAAAGGAGCCTATATGTCACATTTCAGGTTTTCCTTTAAAATCCAACTTTAAAATGAAACTTTCTGAGAAACTCAATGTGGGAACACGCAGTAACCTTACAGGAACACAGGGGGCTCAACAAATGCTCAATCTGTACATAAGATCCCTCTGTTCATAACTTTTATCAAAATATGTATCAACATCAAAGGGGAAAGAAACCCGTACAAATATTTCCACTGTTACTGGAGTAGCTTTTTAAAAGAGGAAATACACATTTGCTTGTAACACCACAGCAGTTAAGTCATCGATCGATCACTGCCCAGCACAAAGGAAGGTGAACCCACAGGCCAACCGAGCCCATACAGCCCAAAGGCTGAGAATGGTTTTTACATTCAGTGATTTAAAAAGTTCCAAGTCACATGTGAAAATTCAAGTCTTAGAGCACAGAAGCCTTATTCGTTTAAAATTGTCTATGGATGCTTTCTCACTAGAATGGCAGAGTTGAGATATTTACTGGAGACAGATCTGTGGCCTACAAAACCCAAAATATTTAGTTTTAGAAGGAAAAAACGGATTGCAAGAATGCGGCCCTTGGTTACCCAGTCCTGATTTTCTTGTCACGACTGAGGGAAAACAGCACCACGTTCAGATCTACTGCAATCAGCCTAACATGTCTAAGCCACTTTTGACTGGTCTTAAGTAGTCTACTATTGAACGTAAACCAGAATACTTTGTGAACTTGCTAGGTTAGGTTCTAATGAAATTTAAATTATTGGGACTTACTAATGTCGATAATGGAACAATTTCAAAAGGAGTCATGTGGCGGGTGAGAATTGGTCAAGAATGTGTAAAAGTAAATACACCACTTATTCTACATGGTAGGAACAGGAGGTTATAAATCTAGTAATTTCTAAAATATTTTGCCCCATGGATACAAATGATTAACAGAAAAAAATTTTAAAGCTCCTTAATAAACACCATAAAATGTACTTTTACAAGATAATGGGACTTCAGCTCTGGCTGGTGTGGCTCAGTGGGCTGAGTGCCAGCCTGCAAATCCAGGGGTCTCTGGTTCGATGCCCAGTCAGGGCATGTATGTGCCTGGGTTTCCAGCCAGGTCCCCAGTGGTTTCTCTCTCACATCAATGTACTTGTATCTCTCCCTCTCCCTCTAAAAAATAAGTAAAACCTTAAAACAAAACAAAAGATAATGGGATTTCGGTTGTTGCTCCAACTGGAGACAATAAGCAAGGTCTAAATATTCAGGCAATTACTATATGCTTCTACAACCAGGATCTGAAAAATTACATCAAGTCAATAGAGACTCCGCTTGGCAGTTAAGTCTACATTCACACACTTCAAAGTGCCACAGGCACATATGAAATGAGATCAGTTGTGTGGCAAAGGTGAAACTGGGGGCCAGAGGGAGGACCCAAACTCATGTTGAGTTCTACACTAAACAGGAAAAACTTTAGTCCAAGTCCCAGTTTTGCAGCCAGTGGGAACCTGCTCAATGTGTAACAGCAACAGCAAAGCCAACTATTGGAACCAATCCTCCCAAATTCCAATCTCAATGATGAACTGGAAATTAGTGCAGGGGGTACAGATAAAAAAAAAAAAAGTATCACCAGTCTTGGTGGTGGATTAGATATTTATTCTTTATAGTTTAAGTCATTACATTCAACATGTTTTGCTTTTGTGTCATTTAAAAAATAATTCCGTATACTAAGCAGCATGCTAAATAGCTAAATGAAGTGTTGCCCCAGATCCCAAAATACATCATTTCAATGAAGTATCACATTTTTCCTAAATACACCAATGAATTAGCTGCTCTATAAATCATGCCATTCTTTTGGGCAGGAAGGGGGAGCAGCTTCTATAGATAAGGTTGTATTTTTGAACTTTGCTACCCCAACAAAATTGATGTGGCCAGAATAGCCAAAAGATTCCTGGGCCATCAACAGAAAAATTAAGCTAATCCCTATAGTTTCCATGACACCACTTAGTTTCCTTTAGCTAAAATTGTGTTTATTATGTCGTAGAATACAAGGTTCCAGCTTTTAAACAGTGCTAAACCAGCACCTGTGGTTTCTGTACTGATTTGTATTTAATCTCATTTTTAAATGCTTCTAAATTTTTGTACTGAAGTATGCTGTTGATCTATAGCGAGACTGACGTTCTACATACTTCAGATCAAGACCTCGCTGTGCTGCCTCCGAGAGAACTACTGTTGAAGCAAATCACCAAAGTAGACTGCAACAAAATTTAAAAATCAAGTAACACAAAGTCCCTGTCAACACCTCAGGATCTCAGAAAAGGTCATGAGTGGGCAGAGTTGATGCTCGAGAAGCCACTTATTAATTAATATATGCTGATTCTCCTCCTGGCTCACACTTTTGCCTGTGCTCTTCTCCCGGCCTGGAGGTATTCATCTGGCTGGATTCCAGAAGACCAGCCCCACCCAAGTACTTACTTCCCTTCTCCAAGACAGTCACTACTGCTGTTTTGTCCGTGTCCCCTCTTTCATTAGATTAGAAAGTCCATGAGAGAAAGAAAGCCTATGCCAGTCTCATTCACCTAAGCATCCCCAACAAGGAGTATGATCTTGAGCACATATGAAACACTTTTATTTGTCAAATAAATTAAGTTTCCTTAAGCTTAGGAATTACAAACTCAAAGGCTTACAAGGGAACAGAACTAGATAAAGGAGCAGGTGGGCTGGGGGAAGGAGCAGAAAAGTCACTGGATAAGAGAAGGATGGAGGACTCAGCCCCTCCCAGCAGATGCCAATGCACAAAGGCAAGTCACGTGTCCTGTGTTGCCAGATATTCAGATATTATCAAAATGTTTAACCAACCACACTGTATGGGCCAAGAAAAATAGGCCCCAAAGCCAGACACAGCTTCGAGCTCTGCCTTGGCCTCTCCCAGAGCCCCTTACACCCTACGAAATGAACACCCGACTCCTGTTTCGATGCACCGCTACTGACAGCAGGTTTTACCAAACAATGCGGACTCACCAAAATTACACAGGAAAAAACACAATGCCATGAAATTATGAATTCACACATTTGAAATGAAAATTGAATTATCCATTTCAGTACCTCTATCTCAAACTTAGTAGATATCAGAGTCCTATTTTAAACAGATTTTATAGTGCAATAGATTTAAATGTGTAATACTGTAACTATAAATTGCTGTGAAACTGTTCATGAGCAGTGCCACCTGCAATAAACAAAGCTGATCGATTTGACCCCAGAATAAGATTGTTTCCTTAGTTGTAGGGCACCCTCTAAAAAGCTTAGAAATAGTTATGACAACTGCTGTTAATAGTTTTTAAATTTACAATATTATAGTTATGAGCAATTTTATTCTGAATTAAACTTCTATTTGTTTCCAAGCAATGTATTTATTTGGTAAGATACCAGTTACCAGTCATCAAAAACTTTTGTATGTTGAAAATGTAATTTTAATAGATAATTCTTCATCTTACATAGGAGCACAATAAAATACACCACATTCTGAAGAAACTCCAAAAGTTACGAGATTAAGAGTGGGGGAAATCCAGATATGGGCTACAATATCCGTTACCTTGAAACTGCAAGAGACAAGGGTTCCAACCCATAGGTTAACATTTACATACTTAGGACTGGCTACATTGATGACTTAAAAATAAAATAACAACCATTAGATATGGAGAGTGGGAAAGAACAGTTTTGTGGGGGGAAGAACTTTCAACACAGAAAAAAGTTACTGAGTATCAAAATAAAGAATAAAAGGGGCTCCCACAGCAAATACCAGAGGGATGAAAAAGAGAATAAGTAATTGAGGATCTGATGCTCTCAAATGAAGAAGCCTTTCTGATGACACATATGCAAGCTGTAGTTTGAGATTTGTTCATGGGGTCTATGAGGAAGACTCAAAGATGGCTCAGCAAACCCCAGGTGATTATCAGACTGGTGTTTCCTAATAACACACATCAGTGGTCACATGAAGTTTTCAGACAAGAACGAAGAAAACGGTCATAACTCAAATGCTGGTCACATATGTGGCACAACATGTGACAGTCCTGCACAGAGTCACCCACACCGTGGCTTTGCTGGGACTCTCACATACAGTAATTTTCAAACACTGTGGCAAGACACCAACAATCATCTAGCTAATCAGACAACACAAACATTTATTTCAAATTTCTAGGAGGTAAAATAAAATGTTAGATATGGATGCTTTAAGCACGGTCAAGGCCAGCTTAAAAATACTCCATTCAGTGATATCTTAATACAAATTTGCATCAGTGAAAATAAACTGGCATAATCCATCTCTTGCCATTCGACTTGTCAGATGGTGAAGACCAAAACAAGATGTTCCATCAGTTTTAATTTTTAAATACGATTGTCACATTGGGAAAATGAAATAAAACACAGTAAAATAAACTGTACAAAGGCAAAGTAGAATAACAAAAAAATATTTTACTAAAACAGCATTTACAGAAGTTTCCAGACAAGCCATACAAAATGGTCACAAGCTTTTTCTTGAAGGGAGGATTCTACATTTGACAGCAAAGTCACAATGTTATTAGTGAGGGCCGCAATATTTATTTAATGTTCCCATTTTGGTTCAAACAATCAAGCTTGTCCATCTACAGCGTCTAAATAAAGTTAGACTTGGCTAGAGAGCATATTCTAAAGAACTGGTTAGCTGCTTTTAACCAATGCAATTAAATCACCATAAAAAGGGGGAAAGGAGCCCGTAAAATTAAAACTACCTCCCCCACCTGAAAAAAATAAAATAAAGAAAAACACCCATTCCCCTGCAGCTAACCCTGACTACTACCTTCATTCACAGTGCTTTATACTTAAATCATGATGGGGGAAATGAATAAAAGCAGAGGAGCCACTGCTTTTAAACGTTTCGCAACAATCCAGATACTTCTAGCCTCTGCTCATGCTTTGTAACAGTGAATCAGGACAAGACATAGATTTGCTAATGTGCATTTAATCACCAAAGGACTGAAGATGTTGGGCTTTTATTCTGTAATGTTTCTAAGACTGTGTCCATTAAATGCAAACAAAAAAGGAAGAAGTCTTGGCAGAACAGGAGAAGTGATGCACAACTGATGATCAGATCGACTTAAATATTATTCATGGCATATAGCCTAGTCCATGCTCTAGCTGCAGACAAAAACAAACATGCAATTATTATTTTACTTAGTTCAATACATTACTTTCCAAGCTCTATATAAAAAGGAGGTGAACACTATGAAGTTAATTAGGGAAATGCCATGCAGTAATCTCTTAAATTCATGCCATTTTCCATAATCTGATTCAGGGTAAAGACTGGATGGCTAATCACCAAGAGTTCTACAAAATTCAAAAGGAAAAGAATTGTCTCCTTTTGTCGCCTTTATTTCTAAATATGACATAATGCCCCCCATTAATTGTTATAATCTGTAGAAGAAGCTTATTAATTTCGAACTCTACACAACTGTATATACTGGTGTAATTTAATCAAATGAACTGCAAAAACAGTTGGTTTTCCATTATCTTTATGTATCTGCTAGATGAATGGCAGACACACAGTATTTGTTACATTGGGTGTGGTTACACAGAAATCCAAGACCTATCAATTATATGTTGACTTTAACTTTGAGGGTCCTGAGTAGGCCATAAAATAGGGCATGAAGATCTCCTGTTTGAGATTTATTTACATATTATAACTAGGATCTGCTTATTACTTTAAATACAAATTTTTTTCTTAAGACTCTAAAAGAAGTCTTTTGAGAGATAGCAGAAACGTTGAGACGTGGAAGTGGTGTAAGAGAGAATGAATACCAAATACCTGTTTCTATGGCTTGGGCTTCGTTGGTCTTCCACTGCTCCGCTACATCATTTGCTAATGGATCATCTGGATTGGGAGCACTTAACAAAGCCTGGATCGATAGCAGAACTGTGCGGATCTGCAGTGCTGGAGACCACTTATCTGTGAAGGCAACAGGCCCAGAATGATCAAACATGAAAAAACAGCCCCAGAACTGCTACATTTCCCTCCCATAGACCTCTGCGGTCTTTAGATAAGGCAAGATTGCAATGTGCAGATTCTCAATATGTAATGCTTAAGAGAAAATGAAGAAATCTTAGTGGCATATAATGATAAAGGTAACACTTACCTTTCAAAATATCTAAACATATTCTTCCCAACTTGTCTACATTAGGATGATAAATTTTGGTCATGAAACGTACTTTAGGTGCTGCCATCGGGTATTCTTCTGGAAGAAATAGTTCAAGTTTAAAAGTCCCTCCCTCAAAGGGGGAATCCTGGGGGCCAGCAATGACCACATGAAAATAACGGGCGTTGCTCTCATCTGGTTCTGCTTTAATGCCGGGAACTGGTTCTGCCAGCAAACGCTGGGTTTCCTACAACAGAAAAACATAACACATCTGTAAAACAAATGTCATTTCACTGAACACCTAAATAAAAATTAGAAAGTTCACCTCTTAAAACTGAACACACTGAACCTCTCCAATCCCTTGATGGGGGGGTTAATGTAGCTTATGAAACACAAAGTTCAAAGAAAAGTCCACTTAAATGATCACAGTCAGCTGAATGCAACTGCAAGCATATACTGGTGGCATATACATTCCAGCTATGATGTCCACAAATATTCTGATGATAAATAAAGCTAAAGAAACTGATTTTATACTAAGAAAGAAAAGAGGGGAGGGGGAAGGAAGGGCACAAGAATTACTACAAACAGCTAAGGCAACTTGCCCTCAAACCTGAGCTGTTAAAAAAATAAAATCAGAGGACTTTCAGCCAGGTGGAAACACTTTACCTCCTCGTACAACCAAAATTAAGGGGGAAAAAATTTTAGAAACAAAAACCAGAAGAGACAGAAAATTCAACTGTCTGCAACTCTTTGACAACAACAAAGCATTCATCCAGACCAGTAAGAGGGGCAGAGTCGGCGGTGGGCGGAGAGGGGTCACAGTAGGAAGAGGTGGTGGTTGGTGGACCAACCCAGGTGCACAGGTGGCAGTTGGCAGATCCCAGGTGTGGGATGGCAACGGGCAGACCCATTGAGGGCACAATGTGGCTGGCTGACCGCGGCCACACATTTACGTGCAGATAAACCGGGTGAAAAAACGATCAGTGAGACAGACTACACAACACAGGGCCCCAGCGCTGGGAAATAAAGCCTAAAACCACCAATTGAAAAAACTTTCGGGAATTGAGGTGCTGGGAGAGGCTCCCAGCCTCACAGCAGAGTTTGTTGGAGAGACCCACAGGGTCCCGGAATGTAAACAAGCCCACCTACCTAGTAATCAGAACCAGAAGGGCCCAAGTTGCTTGTAGGAAGCAGCAGAGGGGACCAAAATCTGAGACAGAGTGGAACAAATGCCATTTCTCCCTCTCTGACCCTGCCCCCAGTCACAACCTGGCAACTGGGTTGACAAGACCTGGCGAACACCTAAGCTTTCTCCCCTCATACATAACAGGCGCAAACAGACCAAAACATTATGGCTCAAGCAGAACAACTCAAAGCCCCAGAAAGCCAAAACTTCTAAGCAACAAAGAGATAGCCAATCTATGGGATGCACAGTTCGAAACACTGGTGACCAGGATGCTAACACAACTGGTTGATTTTAGTTGCAAATTAGATGAAAAAATGAAGGCTACACTAAGTGAAATGAAGGAAAATGCATAGGGAACCAATAGTGATGGAAAGGAAACTGGAGTGGACCAAAAGTGGACCACTCAAATCCATGGAGTGGACCAAAAGGAAGAAAGAAACAACCAAACATAAAAGAATGAAGAAACAAGAATTCAAAAAAATGAGGAGGGGCTTAGGAATCTCCAGGAGATCTCTTTTTTCTAAGCATTTTTAAATTTAATTATTGCTCAAGTACAGTTTTCTGTCTTTTACTCCCATCCCAGCCAACCCCCCCCCAGTGCTCCCCACCTCCCTCCCATTTCTACCCCTATTACTTTTTGTCCACGTGTCCTTTATACTTGTTCCTGTGAATCCTTCCCCTTTTCCCCCAAAATTCTCTCCCCTCTGGTCCCTGTCAGCCTGTTCTGTCCAGGACATCTTTAAATGTTCTAACATCTGAATTACAGGGATACCAGAGGGGAAGAGGAAGAACAACAAGTGGAAAACTTATTTGAACAAATAAAGGAGAACTTCCCCAAGCTGGCAAAGAAAACAGACTTCCGGGAAGTCCAGGAAGCTCAGAGAGTCCCAAAGAAGGTGGACCCAAGGAGGAACACACCAAGGCACATCATAATTGCATTAGCCAAGATTAAAATGAAGGAGAGAATCCTAGAAGCAGCAAGAGATAAGGGGACAGTCACCTACAAAGGACTTCCCATCAGACTGTCAGCTGATTTCTCAAAAGAGACCTTACAGGCAAGAAGGGGCTGGAAAGAAGTATTCCAAGTCATGAAATGCAAGGACCTACATCCAAGATTACTCTATCCAGCAAAGCTTTCATTTAGAATGGAAGGACAGATAAAGTGCTTCTCAGATAAGATCAAGTTCAAGGAGTTCATCATCACCAAGCCCTTATTATAGGAAATGTTAAAGGGACTTATCTAAGAAAAAGAAGATAAAAAAGATGAACAGTGAAAGGACAGCAAACTCACAGTTATTAACAACCACACCTAAAACAAAAGGAAACTAAGAGGACAGCTAAATCAGGAGCAGAACCACAGAAATGGAGATCATATGGAGGGGTAGCAACAAGGGAGTGGGAGAAGGAGAAGGGGGGAGAAGGTACGGAGAATAAGTAGCATAGACAATAGGCAGAAAATAGACAGGGGAGGGCAAAAATAGTATGGGAAATGTAGAAGCTAAAGAACTTATGACACATGGACATGAACTAAAAAGGGGAGTAGAGGAGGGGGTGTGCAGGGTGGAGGGGAATGAAGAGAGGGAAATGGGACAACTGTAATGGCATAATTAATAAAAATATTTTTAAAAGTAATATTAGTTTTAAAACCATTGAAAATGTCCCCTCCTAATCAGGTCTACAGAAATACATACTACGATGCCAATTAAGTAGCTAAGACTGACAACGAAACATATAGAGACCCTTATTGTTCCCCCAACTAACATATTAGTTCTCTCTTCCATTTTTCTCCTTCTCTTCTGAAAAACTAACATTCTTCCTCCTCTCGCCTTAAACTTCCAACATCGCCCTCACTTTTGGCTGATGATTCTGCTTTCAGTATTTCATGAGAAACAAAAAACAACTCCCTGAAGTTCCCAGTGCAGCATTTGTACACCTACCCATATCTGTGCTCTGCCTTTCCTCCTGTGACTATGGATGAAATGGCTGTCACTCTGGGCTAAGCCAAACTCTTACCTTGAGCACTAGATCTCAACTCCTCCTCACCTACTCATGGAAATTGCTCTAGCATCTCTTTCCTCTCCTGAATCATCAGTTTTTCCCCTTTCAGTGGATCCTTCCCCAAACTGTACAAACTTGATTCAATTTCTCCCAGTAAGAGGGGAATCTGACCTTGAACTGACCCCCCCCAAGCTATTACTCCATGGCTTTACTCTTCTTTGAAAGCTATCCGTATATATATATACTTGTCTTCGATCTCTTTCCTCCCCTTCTACCTTGAATACAATTCTCCAATCAGGCTTAGTAGTTGCTAGCCTAAGGTCATCAATGATTCCCACATGGTTAAACCAAATGGCCAATGTTTAATCTTCATCTTACTTGACCTGAATGCACATCTTACCCAGCTGGTGTGCCCTTCTCCTTCCTGTAGCCACACTCTCCAGGCTCTGTCTGGTAGCAACCTCCTAGCTGTTCCACCCTAATCTCCTCAATACCCCAACACTGAAGTGTGCCAAGGATCTGTTTGGGGGTTTCTGTCCACACATTTCCACAGTGATCTCACCTAGCACAATAAATTTAAACACTGAACACACTCCTGTACCTGCTGAAGTCTCTCCAAAATCATATCCTGCACAGATCCTACCCTGATCTTGTGCCCCGTCTATCCATCACCACCTGCTTGATAGCTCTTCTTGAATGTTTAATAAACATCTCAAACTTGGAATGGCTGTCTACCCTCAACCTGCTCCTAACCCCAAAAGCCTTCCTCATTACAGTCAACCTTAAACCCATCCTTCCAACTGATCCACCTTTTCCTTTATATCCCACACATCTAATCCGATCAGCAAATTTTGTTAGCTTGACTTTGAAATCTACTCATGATTGGACTGCTTCTTACCACTCCACTGCTACACATCTGATCCAAGCTACCACCAGCTCTCCCCTGGCATGCTGCTGTAGCCTCCTAACTTGTTCCCTGATTCTGACCTTGCTCCCTGGCTCCCTCCCTGGTCTGTATTCCACAGCCCCCTCCCACCACCCCCAAGAGGCTTTGTAAGTTTCTTTTACTCTCCCCATCTCTTACCCATCTTCAACTATGCTTTCCCCACCCCACCTGCTTTGTTCCAATCAGACTAGCTTCTTTGTAGTTCTCCAACCTGCTAGGTACACTCCTCTTCCAAGGGCTTTCCCACTTGTTCTTCCCAAAATTTCTTTATGGCTCACTTCCTCTACTCCTAAGATCTTCACTCAAATCTGCTTTCTCGTGAAGTCTCCATAATTAAAACTGCAAACCCCATACTACCCTATCCCATACCCTCCCTATCCTTGGCCCCTTACTTCATCTCCACAGCACTACTAATACATTACATATATCATTTACATCAGGATGGAAGTACCATAAAAAGAGAGGTTTTGTCTGTTTTATTTATTGGTATGTCCTCAGTATTTGAAAGAGTGCCCACCATCAGAGATGTTCAATAAATGCTTGCTGAATTGTAAATATATATATTACACAGAAAAAGAAATAAACTCAGAATTTCACCTTCAATATTAAAGCAGTATTATTCAAAGTAGGATGTGCACTTCACAGCACACAAATAACAAAAGAATCATTTCAGGTGTGGGACCAAATGATCTAACTTCTATTTGTAACTTATTTCTACTTGAAAAGTGTTAATATTTAATATGCGAACTGATAATGGTATCTATTGTATGTATTAGCAATACATTTTCAAGATTTTGAATAGGCAAAGTGTAAATGTTCCCAAAAACATTTTGAACACTGCCCTAACTAAGCTTTGAAAATCAATGAGAATACTGTATTTACACTGCTCCCCCCCCCCCCCCCCCCCAAAATAGGCACCTAACATCATATTATTCTGCCAGCACGGTCACATACTGAAATAGTCATAAGACACAGACACAAAACTAACTCCTTCCTCAAAATATGTTAAGCCCATAACCACTTAAAGTAATGCCATTAGCACTTTAATTCAAGACTAGATTTGTTTTAACTGTGGCAAAGCAAGGGGAAATGAAAAACTAAAATGCTATAAACTACT